AAAAAAAAAAAAAAAAAAAAAAAAAAAGACCAGACTCTTAAATACAGAGAGCAAGTTGGTGGTTGCTAGAGGAGAGGTGTGTTGGCAGGGGGGATGTGGGTGAAATAACGAGGAATAAGAGGTACAAACTTCCAGTTATAAAATAAATGTGGAGATGAAAACACCCCGATATGTGAAAACACACCCATATGGTGAGTACAGTCAGTCAGTGACATTGGGGGAAGTATACTTACATGGTGAGCACTGAGTGATGGTACAGAATTGTCAAATCATTATGTTGTATACCTGAAACTAATACAACACTGTTAATTATACTTCAGTTATAAAAAATGCTAAAACAACTGCAAATTAAATACCTTGAGAATGGAAGCACTGCTAACAAAAGATCTATTTGGGCCATAGAAATTTGCAGATATAGAACTAACTTAATACCCTGCTATTAGGTTCAAATGTAAATATCAACACTGTTGACGTGAAGTTTTATGCATTTTCTTCCAGATGTGGCTAAAGCCCTGCAAGAGGGTAGACATACCAGAACGACCGAGTTATGTTGCTCCATTGTATAAGACAAGTGAGCGGAGAGGAACATTATCCACCACTGGACATTCTACAAATTTTGTGATTGCCATGACTCTTCCCTCGGATCAACCCATGGAGCACTGGATTGGACGGGGTGTAGCATTATTATGTCAACTTAATTCATAATCAGAAGATACCATTTCCGTGTTCCAACTTCTTGTTGGATGGTAGAATAGAAAATAAAGCAGTTTGGTTTAAGTCAATTTCACTAAAGCTGTATAAATTAGAAATTTATGTGCAAATGCCGCTTATATTTAAAATGACTCATGCTTCAGTGTAAGGAAATGTTCTGAAATAAGACTAAAGAAAACACACTGGTATATTTGCTCTTTTTGAATAACTTTATTTTGGGAGAGTTCCATAAGCATTAGGAACATACATAAAATGACACACCACTGTTGACAATGAAAAAAACAGCATTTGATCATTTCCAGCTTTATAAATTTTTTTTAAAATGATTCAGTTACAACAACAAAAAAAGGTTTAGGTATTTTAGCAAGTATCACCTTGCAGGACCATAATCATATTTAAGCCACTGACTTACTGTTAATGGAAAAAATTCACACTGCATCTAGTTACTATTGTATTTCTACGCATAATCACAGCTGATTGAATGCAATGTGATATACACCAAAATTCATATGGATGTCACACAGTGACAGCATTGTACAAGTAACATTAACAACCTCCAACAAACACATGTTAAATTAGACTGGTCAAGCTCAATGGAATGTTGGAGCCGAACAGAAATGTAGTGGAATTCAGATTGTCTGGTCAGACTTGAAACTATACATCAGAATGACATGAAAACTAAATACTGGTGGAACCCTAACAAAATACTAGCAGCAACTGTTACAGCCCTCTTAACAGGTTTTTAAAAATCTAGCAAATGAAGATAATGTAATACCATTTTTGAGAGAATATAAAACTTTATATACTTCAGCAGAACCTGTTTTCAACCAGACCTTTACGACGGGGAGTATATTCCAACTGTTGCTTTTCATAAAAGTTTTAAAATTAAGCAGATTTAATGCCAGAATGCAGAATCTTCCTTGGGTATAAAAATGCAAAAATGAATTATATATCTTGGTTCAGAAAGCAAGATATTTTAATCACTCGAAGTTGGCAGTACTAAATAAAATAACAGCACCTTTTACTAGGTTGCTTGAAGGGCCAAGCAATGAGATGAAGGCTGTCCTAATTCAGTGCCCAATGCTGAAGATATTCTATGTTAAAAAAAAAAAAAAAAAAAAAAAAAAAAAAAAAAAAAAAAAAAAAAAAAAAAAAAAAAAAAAAAAACAAAAACAGAAAACCAAAACCTACTTATTACAGGAGGCCGTGAGAAAAGCCAGAAATAATTTTTCAAATTCAGGCACAAATTAAGGAAATAACACCTAAGCTTCCTCGCTCACAGCATAAAGAAGAAACCCTGGCAATACTCTTAATACCTGGAAACATGTGCTGCTCTCGAAGTTTTATTTTTTTGTTTAAAGTTCACGAAGTAAGAGGAAAGGGGCTGAGGAAAAGGAGGAGGAAATGAAAACATGGTAAATGGAATGGAAAGAGTTTGGCTCTTAAATATTTGAACAGTAAGATTTTTAAAGCAGCCGCACTGGTAGCCAAGCAGATTAAAACCAAGCTGCCTGCACATAGTTCAAATACAGTTTACGTGGCATGAATGAAGGCCGTGTGGCACAAGACGTCAACAGAAAGCTACATGCAATGTGACTAGTACTACAAATTACTGGGTCAAAATTCAGGATAAACACGGCTCGCACTTCTCACAAATCACTCAATTATGGTAGAACAGGGCATCTATAAAAGAGACCAACCCCTATCAGGCACCAACCGCATATCTTGGCACAAAATGATTAAGTGATTTTAGCGGAGTTATTTAAGTGTATCTCCCAAGTCACTCGGTACCATGCTAGCTATGGTATCAATGGAGATTTTCCTCATAACCATTTTAATGGACATACAGATTAGGATATGGTAAACGTGGATTTTCTGCCTTACCTCACTGCCAGTCACAGCATGTGCTCTAGGTTCCAAAGCCAAGCTGGTAAAGCAATGCATACATTTAGAACTTAAATTTCCCAAATAACTAGTTAGTACTGTTAAAGTAGCAGAACTGAATATTTAGATCATGTTTGGGTTCTTCTTTGTTCTGATGTTTCCTAGAGGGTTACACTCTGAATGAAAAAAACATTTTACCACATGCTCCAACTCCCTACCCCCACCAAAAATCCCAAAACAAAAACAAAATTAAAGTTTGAAAGAAAAAACACCCAAACACCAAGTATAATATTAATACGAAGAACCATTATGAATCTTTCGTTAAACTGAAGCTCACACAAACATACAACCACAGATTTCAGTAGTTTAGGCTGCAAGTTTAAACACTATGCCAATATATACAAAAATAGTAACTCTAGATTCAAGAATAAGGGCTTTTCCCAATGCTAAATTCATACTCTAATGCAGCCTGAGCCTTCCTCTAGTTCCTATAGCCTACCTAATGCAGTTTCAAAACTGTATCAAGTTGATCCCCATTACCTTATGTATATATGTAACTGAATTAAAGGATGCTACAATTCATTTTTAGCACAAAGAAAAGTCTGCCCGAAGTCCATTTAAAATATTTTTAAAGTTTAAATGATTTTTTTGGTTCAATTTCTATTTCTGCATAGCCACAGAAGTTTCTACTACCAAAGAGACTACTTTAGTGTTTTATATGATTATTCTTTTAAAAGTCTTAAACCTATATCAACATTGGTTCATGGAGTCCCATTTTCTCCTTTCTTTATCACAAGCTTTGTATTTTTAAAAGACCCCTTCACACAGGGAAAAGCAGTACTGAGCACCAACCAGTCTTTTGTGGTTAGGCTCAGATCTATGGAACTTGTAAGTAGTGCAAGCCACTGACTTTTCTTTGAGCAAAATGTGCGCACAGCACTAGGAACAGCTGCACAGCTGCATGGGAACATTCTCGTAATCCACAATGGTGACTGGGAATGGTTAAAACTGGAGGTCAAACACAATTTTGTCTTCATAGAGGGCAATCACCAGCATGATGGCAAATCCAAACAGCAATCCTAAATTCTGAAGAATAAATTGCCCCACTGGACAAAAGCCATGTTCTTCATTGTCACCATCACCATGCAACATTTCTGGAAGCTGGAAAAAACGAAAACAAAACAAAACAGATACTTACAAGCAATTTTGTAATAATATTCTCAACTTTTTAAAACATTCTTCTAGTTTAAACTAACGGATAAAGCACAACTACAAATAAATTATTCTATTCAACATAATGCTATCCGTAACACAGATTTCACTCAAGCACTGACAAAGTTCATGCTTTAGCTGTGTAGTAAGTAAATACGAAATCTGTTCCCTCCTAAATCCCAAACGAATGCACATAATATGCGCATTGGTCATTTTTTAAAGTCACCATCCATCAACCTTGTCACTTCCGGCATTTCCTTTATGCTAAAGTATAAGACAACTTATTATTGCCAATAAAACTCTCCAAAAGAACACCGCATTTCCCACATTTGCTGATCTTAAACTCACTGAGAACGTAATATTCTTTGGGGGGATATCTAATTCAAAACTGTTTCATTTCTTCACCCTTTCCTTTAAAATTCTCATATTCAACTGCTGACAGCAAGGACAGACATTTACAGATGATACCTAACTGGCATCTCTATGCCCTTTGTCCACTATTTTCCTTCCCATAATAGAGAAAATAGTCTATCAAACCTATCCAGCAGAACCGCTCCCCAAGTTATACATGCTGCTTTCACAGTATACTCTACGACAAAATTTCAAAAACCTGAAAGTTTCCAATACTTTTAAAGGCACAGCTCACTGAAGTTTATAGTCTTGATTTCTAAAGCTTAAGGATATACCATTACATTTAAGAATAATCCATAGTTCGAAGCATAAATCTTAAGTTTTGATTTAAGTAAATATGATTTGTTAAAGAGATGTACATTATTATAAGCATAGTCTTTCCTCCCACACCTAGTCAAAATTGTGCGAGAATAGCTACTTCTACTTTTTACTTCCACTCTGTGTATTGTTTTTCAAGTTTGCAATGAGTATCGTTAGATGATAATGAGATGCTACTCTCTTAGACACTAAGCTTTACTCCAAACAATACCTTGGTGCTTTGGGTTTAGGGAGGAGAAATGTAGTATTTTTTCTGTTTAATGTTTATTTATTTTTGAGAGAGAGAGAGAATATGCGTGTGAGTAGGGAAGGACCAGAGAGAGACAGAGACACAGAATCTGAAGCAAGCTCCAGGCTTCGAGCTGTCAGCATAGAGCCCGATATGCGGCCTGAACTCACCAACAATGAGATCATGACCTGAGCCGAAGTCGGACGCCCAACCGACTGAGCCGCCCAGGCGCCCCAAGGAGAAATGTAGTATTAAGAACATAATGCCTGTCTAGGAAGAAACACCATTATTCATTATTAAATAATGAGTACAATTAATCCAACTACCGTATCCGACACTGCTACAGTATATTTAACAGTCTCCTGAGGATCCTATTTAAGAATGACTTCATGCTGATCATCTATTTTGTTCCCAAGTCTATGGCAGCAGTGTGGAGGCTACTGTTCTTTTCCAGCAGAGTAGAGTAATTGTGACAGAAACTACTACAAACAGAATAGCTGATGAACTGTGACAGAGACTGTATGGTCTACAAAGCCTAAATATTTACTATCTGTCCCTTTACAGAATATTTGCCAAACTCTAGATTCAGACTAAACCAGGCAATTTCCAAACTCATGGTTCTAGTAAAAAGACTATTTTTTATTATATCTTTTCTCCTTTCCTCAAGTTTTTATTAAGACAAAAACTTTTAATTCTGGCTTAACATTTAAGCATATGTAATATACAGGACTTTTCTCAGAAACACCCCCTCCAGATAGGTACACATACCAGCCAGAAGACGCACTATGCCTTCCCCACATTCAATTCAGTCCTGAATACCCACACCCATGTCTGTTGATCATAAGCACAGCAAAAGCCAGCCAGTATCTACTGGTATGGCCCTACAACAGCGCTTCCAAACTGGTTGATAAACAGCTGCTATCCAAAGGCCCTTAAAACCAGATGGGCGCTTATAATACCTGGATACCCTAAAGGTACCTCAAACCAAAATTTCTGGTACTGTTGCTATCATACTGAATTATTGTAAATGAATACAAACTTCCTCCCTATAGTCAAAGTGGTCTTTCTAAAACAAAAATGTGATGTCATTGTTGCTTAACTCTGTAATGGCTCCTCAAAATTTATAATTAAAAATTTATAAAATTTACACTAAATTCTCTTTTATAGCACTGTGTGTTGTAGGACTGTCATGATCTGGCCAACATCTGATGACGATGTAATAGGAAAAAAATAATTTCAGTGTTATTAAAATCCTAAAATATATGTGGATAGTTTTCCCTCTTGGACACTTAGAGTATTTCCAATATAACTGTAACATTGTAAATGCTACTGCAAAAAACACTTTAATACAGTTTTTTGTTTGCTTGCTTGTTGTAATAGCAATAGTCATGATGGATTATTTTCTCTAAAATACAGTCCCAGGAGGAGACTCACTAGTCAAAGGAACGATGCTATTCATTATTCTGCTTTCTCATATGACCCTTTCTCTTGCTTCTAATAAACTATTCAACAGTTTTTAAGACTCAGCTCAGATCTCCCATTCCAGAGAAACTTCCCTAATTTTATTTCCCAATTTTTTAGCCAACATAGTTTTACAAAGATGGTACACTACTCTATTGTAATCCATTATTAAAAGGATTCTAATTAATGGCTAGTTTTCTCCTTCATTAGACTCTAAATCCTTCCTGGAAAGATTCTCATTTTTTTTTTTTTTTATATATATATATCTTTAGGTTCCTAGTATAAGAATTAGCTCATTTTTCATTCAACTAATTGTGAACTACTTTTCTAGCAGTAAACGAAATACTACCAAAAATGCTTGCCGTCTCAGAATGGGTATCCATGTGGGGCCCATAAGGAACTCAATAAATAAGTAAAATGTTTAGTGTATTATTTATAGATCAAGATCTAAGTCCAAAGGAGAAAAAAAGTAGGGACAGAATGTGTAAAATGTTGGGGTAGCGGTTGAAATTTTAGATGGGATGCCTCACAGAAGGGAAAAAGCTAGCCCGAAGAATGTCCACAGGCAAAATATTCCACATAGAGCGATCAGCAAGAGCCAGGCCCCTACGGCAGAGTGTGCCTCCTGGGGAAAAGGAGAAGATGAGGTATAGTTCAAGAAATTAGAGAGGGAGAGGGAGAGGAAATGCACAGGAGCCACCGAAGAGTTTGAAGCACACAAGTGACATGACTGTTGACCCAGAATGTCGTGGACAGGGCAACAGCAGGGCAAAAGCAGGGAGAAAGTTAAAGAGAAGAAGATGGTGGTGGCTTGAAGGAGCATGGTGGCCACAGAGGTGGTTAGGGGGCAGAGCCCTCCCAAGACGAGCCAGAGGTAGGGTGGACAGAGAGACTTGAGTCAAAGAATGATAGTCAGGGTTTTGATCTGAGCAACCAGAAGAATGGAATCATCATGTATGACAGAGAATCCCTACAGGAGTTGCTGGTTCAAGAAGTTAAGGCTGGCAGATCTCAAGAGCTGCGATCTGAACATAATCAGCTTGTACTTCTGTTCAGAGAGTCAGGGAAGCAGGTAGATAGATTAACTGAGTTAAGGAAAAAGTCTGCTAAAGATGTAAACATAGGAATTACCAGTCAATAAAAATTTAAAGCCGTGAGACTAAATGGAATTACCTAGAGGGCTTTCACCCACAGTTACAGGTAAGGGAGAAGAGACTCAGAAAACAAATTGAGAAAGAAAGGCCGGGAAGGTGGTAAGCCAGGAGATGGTGATGGCAGGAAAGCATTTCAAAAAGAAGAGAATGAGCAACTGCGAAATACCGCTGAACAGAGATGGGATGGGGTGAATGACCACTGGACTCAGCGACATCGTGGACGACTGCCAGATAACAATCTGGCACAGCAGTCAGGGAGAATACCTGATATGGCCAAACTCAAGAGAGATGAGAATCAAAAATTAAGAAAGCGTAATTTGCTCTGTAAGGGAAGAAAATGGTGGTTGAGGACTAAAATAGAAACTAGAGTTAAGAAAGTCCTCTCTCCTACCTTTTGAAGTGAGGAGTACACGAGGTTTACGTGCTTGTAGGAATGATCCAGCAGAGAGGGGAAAATGACCAACACGAGAGAGAATTTGGGAGAATTTCAGTAAGTTAGTGAAAAGAGGACAAGTTCTAGGGAGCGGTTTTAAGAAGCTGACCTCTTTGAGGAACACAGAGATTCCTCCAGTGTAATAGGAAAGGGAGTAAACTAACAGATACAGGCAGATGAGTAAAAATGGTGATGGGAACCTGTGGCAAGTTGTCTCAATGGCTTCAGGGTTCTCCATAAAACAGGAAGTAAGGTAATCAGCTGAGCATGGGGACAAGAAATGAGGTGTTAGAGTCTATGAAAAGATAGGGAAGTGGTGAACTGTAGGTACAGAGCGTCAACATTTTTTTAATGTTTTTATTTTTGAGAGAGAAAGAGAGAGAGAGAGCACGCGTGTGCATGCACAAGCGGGGGAGGGGCAGAGAGAGAGGGAGACACAGAATCCGAAGCAGGCTCCAGGCTCTGAGCTGTCAGCACAGAGCCCAACACGGGGCTCAAACTTGTGAACCATGAGATCATAACCTGAGCTGAAGTTGGATGCTTAACCGACTGAGCCACCCAGGCACCCTGTAAACAGTTTTTCTTTTCTTTTGTTGATACTTTCTAAATTTTCTATTATAAATAGGCATTAATTCTATCATTAAAAATTCAGGTTATATGATTTTGAAATGAGACCATCTACTAGATCCTACCAGGAAGAAAAGTGAACATAATGTTTGAAAACAAAAAGTAGGGGCACCTGGGTGGTTCAGTTTGTTAAGCGTTCTACTCTTGATCTTGGCTCGGGCCATGATCTAACGGTTCATGAGATCGAGCCCCACTTTGGGCTATGTGCTGACAGTGCAGACCCTGATTGGGATTCTCTCTCCCTCTCAAAATAAATAAATAAACTTAAAAAAAAAGTAATTAAACTGCTAGTTCTGCAAATACACTACCTAACATATTTAAGATATAAAGGTAAAATTAAAACTATTTGCTAGTGTTTAGATTTATTAACTTTAAAGTTAGAAAAAATGAAAATTACACAAATCCCTAGGAAAATATACCATTTTCTGCAGAAGATTGGCTTCCCTAAGAAGTATTTCTTGTTTGCCATAAAACAAGCTCAAAGAATTATTTTATTAACAAACCACACCACAGTATTACAAATTTTAATAGTGTAACAATTATCTCTAAATATTACTGATGATTACTTTGAATAGTAATATCATTTGATCAAAAATTTTCAGCATCTCAACTGATTTTCAGAGAGGAAACCCTTCTATTTGTCTTTCCCTAATAGACTATTTAGGATTTCACATGTTTTAAAATGGGTTCCATTTTTAAAAATATTCTTTTAAACTACATCCAAAGGTTTCTTCCATTTCTGGAAGGTGCATTCTATTTACAGATTTGGTAATAATCACAAAACTATAAAGTATCTTACCATATCCACCAAGGCGACATAAAGGAACATGCCTGCAGTGATTGCAAAGATCCAAAGTGTGATGTTATTGGCATACTGACCCACAGCTGTGCCTATAAGCATGCCTATGTAAGCCATCATGGCAGAGAGGAGGTTGTATACAATTGCTTGCCTTACAGTCATGCCAGCTTTAAGAAGAACTGCAAAATCACCTGCAGTAAAGACACAATGTGAGAGTTTTACAATCACAGGATTTTACACACACATTTAAGGGGAAAAAGCAGGAAACAAAATAAAAAACTGATATAAAAATACACCTTTAATAACTGAGATTTTATTATAAACATTTATTTTTTACTTAATTGAACCTAATACAGGCAAAACTTGGGTGAATCTCACAGGCACGATGCTCAGAGCCAGTCTGAAAGGTTATATACGATTCTATTTATATGATATCTCAAAAAGATAAAACTACAGTGAAGAACATTCCAAGGTCTCCAGAAACAGGGGTGGGACTACAATGGGACTACAAGAAGGGAACTGTTGGGATGATGGAATTGTTAGAAGTCTACAGACATGTGAAAACTCAAAGAACTGCTTATCAAAAAGCAAAGGTCAATTTTCTGTAGAATGTGAAATGTTAAATTTTGGGTGGCTCAATTGGGTAAGCATCCCACTCTTGATTTTGGCTTAGGTCATGATCTCACAGTCATGGGACCGAGTCCCAAATAGGGCTCCATGCCAGGCGTGAAGCCTTCTTAGGATTCTCTCTCTCCCTCTCCTTCTGCCCCTCCCTGCTCACCCACTACTCTTTTTCTCTCTTTCAAAACAAAATCTAAAAAAAACACTTAAAAGTTTTAAAAAAAAAAAATCAAAAACCTAGAATGGCATCTGGGTGGGCTCAGTCAGTTAAGCATCTGACTTCAGCTCAGGATCTCACAGTTCATGAGTTCGAGCCCCACGCTGGGCTCTCTGCTGTCAACAGAGAGCGTGTTTGGGATCCTCTGTGCCACACCCCTCTCAAAAGTAAATAAACATTAAAAAAAAAAAATCAAAAATGTAGAAAAAAAGAACCTGGTCACTACTGTTTCCGTGAGCAACAATTAAAGCCCTCTGCTCTTCTCTCTGCCCCTTTTCCAAAGAAAAATGGCCTAAGAACAAACAGAGGTAACAGACTGTAAGTATATTGTATGCTGTTTAGATTTGTTTTATTTTTTCCAGGAAAAAAATTAAATCTTAATTCTAAAAATCATAAAAATGTAAAATGAATAAAGAGACTCACACTTGTATGTCTAGAGTTGGACTGCTAGAAAAAAACAAATACTGCTCAGAGATATTACTAGAACTGCTAGATATGATAGCCTTAAAGCTAAAGGGTAAAAGTCAGTAATTTCTGACAAACTATAACAAGCTTCTTTGTTTTACTAAATATACAAACATCTAATTTATCACTGAACACTTAGCAATGCAAGGTATTATATAGATACTGGGGCATTTCCTTCCCTTAAGAAGCAATTTTAGGGGTACCCACTGGCTCAGTCAAAAGAGCATGAGACTTTTGATCATGGGTTTGAGCCTCATGTTTGGCGTAGAAATTACATTCATATGTAGAGAAACAAACTTAAAAAGGGGGGGGGGGTCTTAACCTTACATGATTAAAAATACATGATCTGTTCTCTTTTTTAACTCTTATGGTTATAAGGTTCTAATTTATAACAGATAGGAAGAAGTTAACAAATTAGTGCAAGATTATCTACCAATAGCTTCTAAACTGCCATTCTCTAGTTTCCATCTACTACTACTCTCCTTGCATTTTTTCTCCCCTCTGATCCTAAATCCTTGATTTTCCTGGTAAGTCCTGGATTCAAAAGCAGCTTTATCTCTTCTCTACCCTAGACTTTTAATTTTTTTCTCAGCTTCCTTAAGCAAAGAGCTTCCTAACTTCTTCCTCTATAAGTTTCCCCACCAGATTTTCACTAATTCACTCACTAACCATGCTCAGAGGGCAATTTAACTTAGCAGGGGGTTAGGTAATACAAAATGAGAAGTGTCTTTAGGTTATAAAATAAAGTGTTTCCTTTTATAATTTCAAAAAAGGGCATGGGCACATGACTGGCTCAGTCAGTGGTGTGTCTGACTCTTGGTTTCAGCTCAGGTCATGATCTCACAGTTCATGGGTTTGAAACCCACATCAGGCTCTGTGCTGACAGCATGGAGCCTGCTTGGGATTCTCTCTCTCCCTCTGCCCCTATCCCACTTGTGCTCTTTCTCAAAATAAGTAAACTTAAAAAAATAATTAAAAAGGGTTTTAAAAGAAACACTATTTAATACTCAAAGAACATTGTGTCATAGGTACAAACTATGTCGACCTTGATGCCTCCCCAGATATTACTGGATGGCAAAAGGATTTATTTCATCCTTGAATAGCAACCAAACAGCGTGAATTAGCTAATCAAGATTCAAGATGAATTTTTAGTTAAAACTTTTTTAAATTAAAATTTTAAGGTATAATTCTTTTTTTACAGCATTCTCTTTTGGATGTAGAGTTCTAGGAGTTTTGACAAAAGTACATACCATGGAACCATAACCACCATCAAACTCTGGAACTACTTCATTATCCACCCTCCGCTCTTCCCTGCAAACTTCCTCAGTTCCCTCATTCCTCAGCAACCAATGCCTATAGTTTTTCCTTGTCCAGGACATCATATAAATTGAACCCATAAAGTATGTAGTCTTTTGAATCTAGGTATTTTTTTCCTCTTAGCATAATATGTATAAGATTCATTCATGTTACAGTTTATATCAGAAAGTCATTTTTTTAATGTTTATTTATTTTTGAGAGAGAGAGTGAAAGAGAGAGAATAAGTGAGTGTGTGTGTGCGTGTGTGTGTGTGTGAGCTGGGGAGGGGCAGAGAGACAGGGAGACACAGAATCCGAAGCAGGCTCCATCCAGGCTCTGAGCTGTCAGCACAGAGCCTGACGTGGGGCTAGAACTCACAAACCGTGAGAGATCATGACCTGAGCCGAAGTCGGACACTCAAATGACTGAGCCATCCAAGCGCCCCAGGAAGTCATGGTTTTTACTACACTAAATACTCCATAGATGAACCAAGTTAACAGCTGAAGGTCCTATGGGTTGTTTCCAGTTTTGGGCAACTATGAATAAAACCACTGTACACATAAACAGGTTTTTCTGTCAACATAAGTTTTCATTCTTGAGTAGATACCTATGAGTGGGATTTCTGGGCCATTTAACGAGTGTCTTTTTTTTTCTAGCCTTCTAAAAAGCTGCATTCCTACCAGCAATTTCTGAGAGTTGTTCCACATCCTTTATAGCCCTTTATAATGACAAATCCAGCACCTGTAATCCCATGTGTTTTCATCTGCAGAATTGCTTTAGTGAAATGCCTGTTCAAATCTTTTGCCCACTTTGTTGTTTTTCCTATTATTGAGTTGAGAGGTCTTTAAATATCCTAAAAGTCTCTTGTCAGGGATGTATTTTCCAAATATTTATTCACAGTCCTTTTCATTCTTTTTTAATAAAGGCTATTTGTGTAGAGTTTTTAATTTTTATGAAGTCCATTTTATTACTTTTTCCTTAACGGATCATGCTTTTGATGTTTTATCTAAAAATAGTTTGCCTAATCCAAGAACACAAAGATTTTCTCCTAGGTTTTCTTCTGAAAGCCTTATACAGGTAACCCCCACTTTTCTAAAGTTCGTATTACAGCCACTTCACTTTTATTAAAGACCTACATTAGTACCGGTTTTCCCTAACCAAAAAAAATCTGAAAAGGATTTTTCCCTTTTATGAAAAAAGGAAAAAACCAAAAACAGCCTTTGTTTTGCATGAGCTGCTGTAGAGGCAGCCTGCACCCCGAGCAGCCAGAGTAGCCCCACCAAGCTCCTTCCCCAGGAACCCTGCTCAGTGTCAGGCCACCATAGCTCTGAAGTGTGTGAGTACCTGTGCTTTGTCTCTATTTTGTGCTTCCATTGGCAAGATGTATCCTAAGGTATTGGGAAACTCAAAAACTTCTCCATATAAATAGTAACTGTTTCTTAGCTTTAAGCCCTTTCAGCTTACAAAAAGTTTCACTGGAACACTACTTTTGGATAGCAGGGGAAACCTGTATTTTAAAATTTTTATTTAAATCAATGATCTTTTTTCAGTTAATTTGTGTCTACAGTGTGAACTTTTTTCTTTGGGTTTTTGAAACTATATATTCAATTACTACAGCAACATTTGTTGAAAAAACTTCCTTTCTACATGGAATTTCCTTTTAACTTTGTTGAAAATAAGTTGCCATGTATCAGAGAACTCTACTTTGTTCCACTGATTTATGTGTCTATTTCCTCACCAATATAAATTGTTGCAATTACTGTGGCTTTATAGCAAGTCTTAAAGTCAATTTTGTTGTCCTTTTTCAAAATTCTTCTGGTTATCCAAGTTCCTTTCGGTTTCCATATTAAATTTTGAAAAAGCTCATTTGAAAAAGCCTGCTGGTATTCTGACTGGGAATGCACTTAAACTATAGGGAAAATTAGCATCTTAAAGATACTGAGTCTTCTGGTCCATAAACCTGGTATACATTCTTCACACTCAAGTCTCCTTTGATCTCTTTTGTGGTGATTTGTAGTTTTCAGCATACAGATTCTCTGTATATTTTGTTAGATTTAACCAAAGAGTTTCATGTTTTTTGGTGTTATAAATAACACTTTAAAAAAATTTCAATTTCTAATTGTTCATTGCTAGTATACAGCAGTATAAATTATCTTTGTATAATGACCTTGTACCAAGACAAATTATTTCATTTAAAATCTAGGGGCGCCTGGGTGGCTCAGTCGGTTGAGCGTCCGGCTTTGGCTCAGGTCATGATCTCGCAGTATGTGAGTTCGAGCCCCGCGTCGAGCTCTGTGCTGACAGCTCAGAGCCTGGAGCCTGCTTCGGATTCTTTGTCCCCCTCTCTCTTTCTGCCCCTCCCCCACTTATGCTCTGTCTCTCTCTGTCTCAGAAATAAACATTAAAAATTTAAAAAAAAAAATGAATAAAATAAAATAAAATCTACCTCTGTCCTAGACTTATCTTAGTTACAAATTTCAGAGGTATCTGCATATTTTTCTCCCTTTTTCTCTACCCACCTCCCTTCTCAGTAAGAACCTTGATAAATATTTGAAAAATAGATCAAAGGAATACAGTTGGGATTTACACCAAACAAGCAAATCTACTCATCTTTTGATAAATCAATATCCCTTCCTTTTTGCTGACAAAGGGTGTCGTTAACACAACGAATGAGGTGTGCCTGCCAAAGCTGTTAATGTGATCCAATGCTGTAATTATGTTAATATCAACCACTGAGATTTTTTTAAACAAATACATATTTCAAAGTTCTTTATTTTTGCCTTAAATAATGCATGTATACACATGTATACATCTATATAGTAAATGTTCAGTTTTCCCTGAACAATCTAGCACATTATGAAAATTTATTTTGAAATTCTACTTACCCCTTAAATACGCATGAGAGTAAAGGGAAAAAACGGGATGGCACCCATAGCTTCTCTGAGCTAAGTCTTAATAATAAGGCTACATTTATTTATCAAAATGTCACTTTTTTTTGGAGTTAGAACACACTACTTAATATCAAGAAGAGAGTTTGGATTATCTGCTCTTCTAGATTATCCCAATCTCATTTCCTCTTTATATGTTCTTATACAAGTTTTCATACAAATTATTTTTTAAATGCTTATACAGTTATTTTGAACTAGTAGGAAAATAGTAGAGAGAATACAACAAAGTAATATTTCTACTTACTTAAATATAGCTAAAACAAGTTTGGCAAAAAACAAAAGAAAGAGTAGGAATAATTCAGGTGACTTCATCCATTAACCCACCCCACAGCAAACACGCTATGAGAGACAAGCGTTTTCTATTTTCTCAGATGGTTTCAATTTCTGCATACCTCTTAGAATGAACCTCCCTGAGCTGTATATTGTTCTAAGGTTTAAAAGTTTGATTTTTCCTTTGCATTCCTAAGCACAAACAAAACCATCATCTGGTACACCATGCGAGAACTGCAATGCGTTCAGAAGAGGAACAATAAAACTTGGAATTACTAAGGGTCGCTTTTTAATGCACTAAAATGTAATTTAAACAATTGTTTTCCCATTTAGGGTATGACTTCAGTATAAAAATCTCAGAACAGTTTTAAGAATTCATAATCAAAAACTTAACTAGGGCCTAAGAGGTTTTAGATCAAATAAATTATCCTGGAATGCAACATATTATGCTGCTTTGCCAATATCCTGACCTATTAACCAGGGAGAAGTTTCTCCTATCTCCCTGCCATGCTTCTATTATATCTTCTAGGGGAGTGATCTTTCCCTTGCTTGGGAGTTCTGAGGAAGAGGTTTCTAGCCTCTCTCCAGATTCCCTCCTCTCCAAATGAATGAGTGATAAATCAGAGTAAAGACATTCATCTGGGCCTATTTTACCAAAGTGTCCATTATTGTACCTTAAGGCAAAAAATAGGCTCTAAAATCATTTTTTAAAATACTTTCTTTGTTTATGGTCATTAGACCACTTCCTACCTTGATGAATACAAAGGCCAAAGCATTTTCTATCACTTCCAGAGTTATGCTCTTTTTACCCTAGAGCCTAGACAGCTAGAAAATAGAGTTTAGGTCAATTTAGCACTGAGCATTGGGGGAAAATGCACATTTTCTTAAGGTCTCACTCCTTTAAAGTTCAACGTACTTTAAACTCATGTTTTCCCATCATAACAACAGTAACATCCCAACTTCTGGTTTGTGGGGGTAAAACAGGTAGAGATTTGGGGTCGATTGTCTCATGGGGAGTCCTGGCCCAGGTAGAGTTCTATAATCCAGCTTTCACAAGAGCTCTGCATAGGTCCAAGGCCTTACCTAGCTATTAAGGTATGTCCTGCATTTGTTTATGTGGCTATCATTCCTTGTATTTCATTGTTTCAAGGAGAAACTACAGAGAGAAAAAGGAGTAAGTGGCAGGAAGGCAATCATCCCTAATCTCCAAACTCCCTGCTGTCAATAACCATGAAGTGGCATGATATACTCCATTTAGGGAGCAGGAAGAGGGTAGGAAGGGAAGTTGAAGGTCTTCCCAGTATATTGTGGATGTGTGTTCAGACTATCCAAATCTACTAAGCAAGTTCAAAATGAAGAGTGCAAAGTTAAAATTATTAGGCTATATGTTACCTACATATAAAAACTGACAGGGGCGCCTGGGTGGCTCAGTCGGGTTAAGCGGCCGACTTCGGCTCAGGTCATGATCTCGCGGTCCATGGGTTCGAGCCCCGTGTCAGGCTCTGTGCTGACAGCTCAGAGCCTGGAGCCTGTTTCAGATTCTGTGTCTCCCTCTCTCTCTGCCCCTCCCCCATTCATGCTCTGTCTCTCTCTGTCTCAAAAATAAATAAATGTTAAAAAAAAAAAAAAAAAAAAAAAAAAAAAAAAAAAAAAAAAAAAAAACTGACAGAAAGCCCTGATGTGTATTGCTATGGAATTGCAAAGAAGTATTTGGCAGATTATTCTCTTCCTAACATAGGAAAGTAATTAAGAAAAGTGCATAAGATACAGTATCTGCATACAAAGAACCTACATTTTAAGAGATAGGACATCTACAATGGATATATACTAAGCACCCAAAGAAAGACCTGGTGAAGCTAAGTGATAAAGTTTACACGAAAAAGTAATCCAACACATACAGGGCAGTAATCCTCCAGCGGGAGGGCAGTCCTCAAGTTGGAGAAAAAAAGCCTCGTAACATAATTAACTAGAGAGACAATCAGTAGGACAGGACAAGCCAAGTAGGAAGATGGTACAAGGAAAGAAGCAGGCTCAGGCACCCACAGCATATGTTTGGTGAATTATGTTTGGGTGAAGTGGAAAACATGCAACAGCAAGCACAGTGAGTAAGGCTGAAAAGGCAGAAATGAAGGCCAATGGAAGCAGGACTAACGTATCTCAGCTTTTAACTTTATACGTAAGGGAGACTACTGAAAGACTGATTGCATGAGCAAGTCACTTTGGGATAAAGTATACAAGATGGACTAGAACAGAGCAAAACTAGGTGTAAATACTATGGAAACTGTCCAAGCAAAAGACAACGAAGGCAATAATGGTTTAGTCAGGATAAAGGAAATGGGGCATGAACAGGATATAAGAACACAGGCTCAAGGCTGGCAAAGGAACAAAACTGTAAGTACGGAATCAAGGCTTAGAGAATCATTACCAAGTAAGCATTAATAGACTGTCCTGCTTTGAGCAGTTAATAATTTTCTAAGCAAATTATACATATGAACTCTACTGAAAGTAAGCAAATAAGGCTACTGCCAATAAAAAAAATTAAGCACAGTCAAGTGATAGATGTTTCACAGCCAGATAAATTTAAGAAAAATATTAAACTAGCAAGAGCATATGAAGAAATTCCTTGGAAACTCAGAATAGGGAGTTACTTTTTTCTTTCAAATTTATGTCATCTCTACATCCCCTGGATATTTTCTGTGAATGAATGCATGTGCACATCTAATGTTTTTCAACTTAAAGGAAAAAATCAGGAGCACCTGGGTGGCTCAGTTGGTTAGGCATCTGACATGAGCTCAGGTCATGATCTTGTGGTCTGTGAGTTCGAGCCCCGCATCTGGCTCTGTGCTGACACAGATGGGAGCCTGGAGCCTGCTTCGAATTCTGTGTCTCCCTCTCTCTCTGCCCCTCCCCTACTCACACTCTCTGTTGCTCAAAAATAATAAAAATAAAAACAAAAATCAAAACACATGAAGAGAAATTTAAAAAAAAATCATTGGTAGATCAGTAAGTGCCAACTAAAACAACAAAGAAATATCACTTTATATCTACCAAATTGACAAAAAATAGTTAATGTGAAGTCTTGGCAGAGATGTGGAAACACAGGAACTCTCTGGTATTGGTGGTTAGAGATGGCCATGGTGGCTAGTAATACAGCACTTCTCTGGCAGGTACATCCTACGACCCATCAATTCTGTTCCTGGGTATAATCCCAAAAGATGTTCTTGTAAGAGTCTATAAGTGCTAAGTCTACAGATGTTCCATGCCTCATTATCTGTGGTGGCAGGAAATTAAAGGTGTAGTGTATCTAATACTAGGTGACACATATGTAAAATGCAGTAAATGCACAACTCTTAAGTACTGACTAAAAGCAACATATTAAATGAATTCATGATAACCTGGGTGGAGTTTAAAAGCATAATGCGGGGCGCCTGGGTGGGTCGGTTGGTTAAGCATCTGACTCTTGACCTCGGCTCAGGTCATGTTCTCATGGTTTGTGAGATCAAGCCCCACATCAGGTTCTGTGCTGACAGTATGAAGCCTGCTTGGGATTCTTTCTCTCCTTCTCTCCCTGCTCCTCCCCTGCTCATGTGCTCATGCTTTCTTTCTCTCTCTCTCAAAATAAACTAAATAAAAGCATAATGATTAGTAATATAAGGAAGAGAATGGGAAAGGACATAATACTGTTTACATAAATTAAAAATACATACATATAAAACAATACATTTTTAGGTGCATATAATACATATTATATAAAAGAATGATGACATTTCTACTTGTCATCAACCATTTTTATGTTTTAACCTCTCCAAAATTTATATGCATTTATAACTGAAGAAGTCTTAAGATTTGACAAAATCTGGTATATTACCTAACTCATGTGGCAGCTCATGACAGAACACAGCTATAGAGGTACTGATTCCTCCCGTCAGTCCAGCACTGAAAGCTGCTCCTGAGGTGGGGGGTAAAAAGAAAATCAAGTGATGTTTACTTCTGCTTTTTCCATTTTCATTAATAAGGATAGGTACAACCTCTTTTGCCTATCTAAATTATTTTCATAATATATGACTCACTTATTTTACATTATACTTTTTGAACATATAGTGAGGTATAATACATATATAATAACCAGAGAAAGAGCTACTCAGTGAAAGAAATATTCTCTAAGAAATTAAATTTTCCATTACATTAGCCTTCCAGAGCTCACTGAAAGCTTGGGAGTAGTAATGGTTTCCAGCATTTCAGTTTCTGAGTGGAAGTCTGATGCTAAATTTCAAGTCCTTTAAGCGTACGATTGTATTCGCTCTCTCTCATATAAATATTTATAGATACTTAAATGGCTACATCCTTGTCTGAACTTTTCTGGGTCTAGAGCAAAAATACTACAAAGTATTATCCATCTGACAGTCTTGAGGACTGAGATCAGAGATATAAATACATTTGATTCCCCCTAGTGAATTCTTTATTTTTTAACATTGACAGCTACTAAAGATTGAAAAATAGGGGCGCCTGGGTGGCGCAGTCGGTTGGGCGTCCGACTTCAGCCAGGTCACGATCTTGCGGTCCGTGGGTTCGAGCCCCGCGTCGGGCTCTGGGCTGATGGCTCAGAGCCTGGAGCCTGTTTCCGATTCTGTGTCTCCCTCTCTCTCTGCCCCTCCCCCATTCATGCTCTGTCTCTCTCTGTCCCAAAAATAAATAAACGTTGAAAAAAAAAAAAAAAAATTAAAAAAAAAAAAAAAAAAAAAAAAAAAAAAAAAAAAAAAAGATTGAAAAATATGGCCTCTCCTTTCTTAAAGAAACCAAAGCCTACTTCTGAGTGAAGTCTGGAAAAGAAAATCATATATTAATCACATTTAATATTCTCCTAAACTAGTAATATCAGTTTACGTTAGCCAAGACTCTAATAATTTGAATCTGGTACAATGGATGCTTAACAGGTAAAATTTTTCTTCACCTTTTCAAAGACATAAAAAAGTACTAAACCCTGGACTGAAATTATATATTCAGGGATATATAAATGTATTTGAAAATAGAATGTTAAGGTAGCTTTCATATGTGATTATGCCTTGAAATCGAGTTATAAAAGTAGTATACTACAGACATTTGTTTACACATTAAAAGCAAAACCCAGTAAAAATACACCTTTATGCCCCAAATAAGCTGATCAAAAACATTAACATGGCCTCTGGAAACAAATCAAATGACCAGAGTAATATATAACAGTGTATTTGTTAACCTCAAATTTTAATCCTATGTATTACAGTTTATAGTATTAGTACTGAATCTGTGATCTTAAAGATCAAACAAATGATAACCCAAGTTTCAAGCCCACTTACCAATTGCTAGCCCATCACTGAAGTTGTGGATGCCATCCCCCATGATTACCATCCAAGCTATATTAGCTATGCCGGTTTCTTTCAGATCGGACCCAGAATGACAGGGCCCATGAGAATGGTGAGAATGCTTGTGGTGCCACTGGTGGTTATGTTTCCTCAGCACAGTCTTACTCTCGTCATGGTGGTTGTGTGCAGCAGCATGGAGGTCATGCTCGTGAATGGTATGTAACCCATCACTGTGAGAATGGTCCATGATTTTCTCCTCTTCCACACAAAGATAATTTTTAGGAGGGGATTCTTGTTGACCTTCTAAATCTGTCAGTTCAGTTTCATTAAGTCGATCTTCAGAAACGACCGAGTCATCAGTTCCTATATTTATAATAGCAAAGGATATACTTTATCAACAAGCAGACGAACGCTTCTTCGCTCATTTAAACCCAGGCAGAACAGCAGTGTAATGATTAAATGAAGTCCCAAATAAATGTATAAAAGCAAATAAAACAAACATGTGCACATACACACAAAACAAACTGGGGTTCTGAGCATCCAGATGATGAACCAGATGAGGTAAAGGGGGGACACTGAGATCAACAGCAGGCAAAGTGGGGAGAAGAACTGGCAAGCGTGGAGAAACTGTGAATCTGAGGGAGGACATCACGAACAGCTGCTAAAAATCGAAGGGTAGAAGTTACTGCAGCATTTACAGGACAACTAAATGGACCCATAATTTTTCAGGGGAAGAAGGAAACTTAAAGTTACCCTGTCAAATCCTCTCTTATCACTGAAGAAAACAAACTTTAAATCGCTGGCACCCTCCAATGGCACCTATCTGAAAATGCTACTCAGAAACCCATATAAATGGTAACATCTGATTAAGTATTTTTTTTTAATTGAGGTTGGCCTCTCACCTAGTTTTCAAAAACTATTTATTATGTGACAAACAGTCTACTACTTCTCAAATTGTATTTTGGAGCAGAGTACAGTTAGAGTCTCATCTGCCCCTTTTCTGCAGAAAATCATTGGTACGTTCAGGGGAAACACAAGTTCAAACAGAAAGGGAAAATTAGACTAAAATACTTTATGTTTCCTTGACAATTGTAAGCTACCTCATCACATTTACCAGGCAACAGAAGAGCTGAATTGATGAGCAGAGATTTTAAGTAGGGAGACCACTCTCCCTCTTCCATATGAAACCAATCCCATATGGACGGCACACAGACCTGCATTGCCAAGATCTAAAGATAACACGAGTATACTGCTTACAAAGCCTTTTTGTTTGTTTCATTTTTTTTCTGTAAAGTAAAAGTGCAATATGTTCCTTGCCCTGTGATATAATTAGTCCCACATTCCATTTTAATAAGGCTGAAATAGACAAGACAGTAAACAAAATCACAAGATACACTCACATTTTAGGAAATACAAAAGTTAGAAACTAATATTAGGGAAGCCACAAAAACAAGAAATTTCAAACACAGGCACAGGTTAGAAGCAGTATTTCAATGTTTATATTTTAAAAGCTTCTCTTTAGTCAGAACTGTTGTCTACCGGCAAGAGGCTTGAGCTGAAGCCAGTCAGCATCTGGTGTATTATTTAACTTATGATCTGAAAGCTTCCTTCCAATAGTTGATTCTTCTGTGTTCTGCTTCATAAACCATTTCTGTTTTCCCTGAAAAAAATCTGGTATTAGTATCAAATCTGCAGCCACAACTAGCAACAATATTCACTTGTTAACATCTATGGGGTAAGTGGTAGTAACACTTTATTCATAAATTACTTAGGAAAAAAAGAAAAAATTTTTAGAAATTAATCAAGGGGTCTTATTATAAAATATTCAGCTAAATTTCTATGTTGTTGCTTTTTTTTTTCAAACACTCAACTGAAAGGATCAACTCATCTACTTCAAAGTACAGAATACAGTACACAGTACTATATTACATGCAACCAAATGAAATGTGTGAAATATATTTAATATCTATCTTATTTAATAGTGCATGGGAATAGGAAGTTCCAAAAAATGAAAGGTTATTCCCTTTGAATTTCATTGTGTTTAATGCAATCTTACATTTCCCTACATGTGACATAATGGGCAGGGTCAAATTTGAGTTAAAATCACAAACTTTGTAGTTTACTTCTGTGAGAATTGGGCAGTTAAATTTATTAAACCATAAGAATACTCATCTGTAAAATTAAAATGATAGATTCTTAGGATTAAATGAGGTGATGTGTGAAAAAATGACCTATCGGTAACCGACTCTTAACAGCTTCGCAATAAAGGTAAGTTTTCTTTCTTATCTCATCTATCCTCACTTATTAATAAATCCTAAGTATTGTATTTCATTGTTTAGGTTTTAATTTTCCTATCTTTTAATAGTCTGCTTTCTTCTTTTAGCAATGTAACTGTGTAACTACCTTTAACAACTCTTCCAACTTAAAGTTCTATTTCCGATCTATGTAAGTTTATGAGAACAAATAACCTCTTCCCCTTTAACTTGCTTTGATCAACAGAATGCAAGAAAATGATGGACCAGTTCTGGAACTAGTGTGAAACCTGACACCTTTTGCTTTTTTGCTCAAGGAAGCTAGCCACTAATCTGTGAAGAAACTCAGCCTAGGCTCTAAACAGAGGCCATGTGTGGGCACCTGGGTGGCTCGGTCAGTTGAGCGACTGACTTTGGCTCAGGTCATGATCTTGCAGTTCGTGAGTTCGAGCCCCGTGTAGGGCTCTGTGCTGACAGCTCAGAGCCTGGAGACTGCTTCGGACTCTGTGTCTCCCTCTCTCTACCCCTTCCCCACTCATGCTCTGTCTCTCAAAGATGAATAAATGTTAAAAAAAATTTTTTTTAAAAATAGAGGCCATGTGGAGGACACTAGATGCAGGCATACACATTCATGGGCCTCCTACCCCTGCCCTGTTGAGGCCAACCCAGGCCAGCTGAGTTTGAATGTAGTACAGTGAGTGAGTGTAGCTGATGGTAGGTGGAACAAAAGGACTGGTCGGCTGAATCCTGCCTAACTTCCTGACAGAATTACGAGAAATAATAAAATGTTGTTATAAGTCATTAAATTGTGGGTTCTTCTGCTTCGTAGCAATAAGTAACAGAAACTGGGGAAACACAAAATGTTCAAAAGGAGTAGTATGGAGACAACCAAAGAAAAGAAACAGCAGCCATGAGATGAAGTAGAAAGGAGAAAAGTGGGGGGAAGGGAAAAAAAGCCAACCATAGCACAAAAGAGAAAAGAAGAAAATGTACAACACCAGCTGGGATTGTGTTCAACTGCTTTGGTTCAGATTGTCCTTGTCCACTTTCCTGAAAACTTGCCAAATCACTACCCTCAAAGCCCCAATTTGCTGAAACCAGTCCTCATCGGATGTATTACTTAATGTATGCTCTGAAAGCTTCCTTCCAATAACTGACTCTTCTTTGCAGATGGTCAACCGTCTGTTCTATTCAAGGATCACTAATTCCTTTTCTTCAAAACAATGCCATACACTTTTTCATCTTTGGTTACTCACTGTCCTATTTATCATAAAGGAGACACACTGATTTATCTGCACAGATTCCTCTCTTTGATATCCTTGAAGAATTCCTTACTATTAGATACAGAGTACCCCTTTAATGGTGTTCCATTGATTTATCTAATCAAATTCTTTTAATTTATTTACTTCTTTCAATATCAAATTTCTAAAGAGCTGCCATGTTCTGGAGATTCTATTCTTCTACATTAGTTTACAAAAATAAACATGTTTAATTTTCCCAGTAAATTTAAATGCAAAATGAGATCAAGATTAAATTATAAAAAACAGAAAACATGTTTACTTTGAACTACCTCTTGAAAGACTACATTTTATACTTACTGGTAAATTATGCAGTCCCTAATATTCTGTACAATTAAATATGAATATTTGCTGCTTCTGTGTTAGCAGGTACACACAACTGAAGAAAATTGAGCTTCACAGGAATGTCAAAACTTCTCTATATACTTTGCAATATATAACTGTATTCTAAATTATGTACTCAGAGATGGACCCTAAAATACTTCTATTTCTTGAATGTCATCAACAATTAAATCATATTGATTCTCTCATTTAAATGGTTCTGGGGCACCTGGGTGGCTGAGTTGGTTAAGTGTCTGACTTTGGCTCAAGTCATGATCTCATGGTTCATGGGTTTGAGCCCCCCTCTTCTGGCTCTGTGCTGACAGCTCAGAGCCTGGAGCCTGCTTTGGATTCTCTCGCTCTCACTCTCTGCCCCCACCCCACTCACACTCTCTCTCTCAAAAATAAATAATCATTAAAATTTTAAATAGTTCTCTTAATCACCTTATCTTTCCTATTCCTCATGACATGACTCTACTTCAAGCCCCCATCACCTCTCTTCTGACTCATTTCTCTCCGGCCACTCTCACCTTGGCATCCCTCCTACCAACACTCCATTCTTCACCCATCCACCTTTCCATACACCCTCTGAAAACCAAATGCTGTTAGGTTTCTTTCACTTTTGATCCTTTCCTAGTTCGTTCTACCATTCCTCAGATAATAATTCACTTGCACATCATCTTGATCAACCTGCCTTTGAAGGCACTTAAATATGGCAATACCCTGAATAAAATATAGCAATTAAAATTAAATACACTACTTGGAATATGATATGAAAATACAGACGAAAAGTAGGGCTTATTTCCCACAGATTTATATAGCAACTGGAAATCACAAGGAATGAGTCATAGTTTTCACAGCTATTTTGTAGCTGGGCAAGAATTAGAATCACTCCCCCTGAGTCCCAGTTTAGAGCTCTGTTCTAAACCATATTTTGTCTCAAGGAAATATATACAAAATACATACATATACAAAATATATACATAAAAATGGCAAAGATCAAAGTCAATGTTTCCTTGAATACACACCAACATCATAATTAAGCATGTGGCCAGAAAAAAAATTTTTTTTTGAGTTTCGTATCTCAGAAAACGGAAGAAATCATTACAAAGTACTTACTCTTTGCTGCTTGTAGTGCTTAAACATTCTAATGCAGTGTTCAATGATAAATAACAAGTAAATGCCTCCTAGAGCGACAAGTCCTTTCAATACGGCATCATATTCCTCCAAAAACTTCTTAGATTCGTGTCCATGAGAATGTCCATGCCCATGTGCATGTTGATGACTATGATCGTGTCCACCCTGAGACTATTAATAAGAATAACAAAAACTTCTAAACAAGTAATTAAAGATGTTTTTTAAAATTGAGACTATAATCTGCTAGGACACACAAAAAAATACCTTTCAATTTTTAAAGTGGTTCTCTAAATATTATCTCACATAAATATAAGTAGCCTTTTATTTAATTTTGCTGTCTGTATTCAGTGGCCTGGAAAGTATTACATTTCATGGTAACTCTAAAACAAAGACCACAAACTCAAATGGCTATAGGAGCTGACACACACTACAGTGAGAAAATCAAGCAGCATTAAGATATTAGGAAGCATGGGTCCTTTTTAAACCAAAGTGAACATGACCCAGATGTCTAACATTCAGTAAAAACAAACTAATTCACCTGCCGGTCACAACCTGTGACTCCCTGTAATCTTTTTCTTAAACTGATTATATTTTTATGTTTTTCTCTTATAAATTAAAGAAGTGATGAGATGCTACCTGTACTTACAAACTGTGGAACATTATAAGTATATACTCACACGTGTTTATTTTTCTACAGTTTAAAGCTTTAGCAAAAAATATAGAAATGGGTACTTTTTAATTGTCAAACATACAAGTTCCACAATAACAATCTTAAAAATTAGAGATCTGGTCTTAAGTATTTCCCTTCCTTATAACAGTTATCTGTATTTTTTCTCCATCTGCTAGCAGCCAAGAGAAGAGATTTCTAAACTTCTCAAAGATGGTAAGGCCATTTAAAAAGGTAACAGCTTTACATAATTAATACTTAAGAAAAAAAATAAGTCAAATAGCACCTGAAGACTGTTCTCACTTCAATCAACTGTTCTTAATAGGCCCAGTTTTGAAATTTTGTGGCTATTCTTGATGATGGTAAAAAGGGAAAGCCAGGGGTAGGAATAAAGGAGGAAATCAGTAAATAACATAATGAATCAATTTTTAAAAATTTACATTCACAGTTTAAGATTTATTAATCAATTTTTTTAAGGCAGTGTCATATGGTATTCCAGATACCAAATCTGGAATTCTGAACCAATTCCTCTGAGTGAAGAAGGGGAAGAGGAGTATACAAAACACACAAGTAACAATTCTGGGAGTGCCTGGCTGGCTCATTTGGTAGAGCGTCCAACTCTTGATCTCTGGGTTGTGAGTTCAAGCCCCACGATGGGTGCAGAGATTACTTAAAAAACGCAAATCTGTTTCCCCAATACTCCAAAGGAGGTGGTAAGAATATTTAAAAAAAACATTCAAACCTGTAATTTTACATTTGGAAAAGAAAAAGCCCCAGTGTTTTCATCATTTGAAGTAAAAGCAGTAACACTGTATAAAATACTAACTGATAACAGATTTTAAAAGGTTGCTAAGCATGGTACCAGAAGTGTGGGCATATGATACTATTAGAAGGGTCCTGAAATAGAAGAAAATAAGTGGTATTCCGGGAGAAAACATAAATGGCCCCATATGTAAGGAGCTAAAAGCCTATAACTGAAATTAGTTAACTAAATTGTTAACTGAATATGTCAGCCTATTCTTGATCAAATAAAGATAACTGGGGCACACTGACTATACAGCACAATCATAAGACCACTTCTACATTTCTCCTAATGGCTTTCTTGATATAGCATACAGATAAAAATCAATGAGTGGTGTATCTTTTTAAGTATTCATTTACAGAACTGCTAATAGAGCAATTTTTTGTAAATTTCAGCTCTACCCAGATTAAACTGACATATAAAACTGTATTTAAAGAGTACACTGTGGTGATTTGGTATGTATACGTTGTGGCAGGAAAAAGTAATACTGATGTAACCAATTTTTGTTGCTATATTAAAACCTAATGACTCAATTTACTTCAAAACTATTGCTATTAAAACTATGCAAATGGAAAGACTTCATCCTATAGGCAAATACAACAAATACTAGATTAGTGTACTATAGTTTGCTAATGAAGGACCTTTTTAGCTTAAATATTTTTATTTTTGTTTTGTTTTTTTAAAGATTAAAAAGATTTCTTACATGGGGCAGTAGATGAAGAAGGGCGTCTCCACTCATTGTTCCTACAGCTAGTGCAACAAGGAATGTGAGAAGAAATTTGAAGCATCCTTGGTTAATGATGGGAACCAAGATCACGCCTAGCAAGGAAAGCAGGCTAATGACAGTGATAGAAATGATACCACAAATCCATGCTGTAGGAAAGAAATTAATAGTCAACATTAATATGACAATATAAGCCAAAAAGCTCTAAAGAACAATAAACTTAAGATAAATGAGTCATGGAAGATAGATTATCTTACCCTGACTATGCTTTTTAAGAAGTTTTACATTTTGGCACTGCTGTGTTTAAAAACAAAACAACCACATAACCCACCTGAACACTTTAAAAAAGAATTAAGAAGTTCAGACCAAGTTATAAATAGTACCTTCAGTAGCCCATCTTATTAGAAACAGGGATTTAAAATGACTTCAGGCTGTGATTCACTCTTCATATGTAGACTGTCAAAAAAATTTTACCAATGTATAAAGGCAGAGCCACAGCAATAAAACTATTCATTTAGAGAATACAATTATAAAACTCTCCTGTGAGCATTAGAGGAAGCTGAGTATCTAGTGTTATCTTTGTAAATCTTTTAATACAAAGTTTGAGAAACTTAACATACCAGTCCAAAATGGAAACATTCATAAGAGATTTAAAAAAAAAAAAAAAAAAAAAAAAAAAAAAAAAAAAAAAAGGCCTTATTACTGGTACCATTTTTGCATTTCATTTCTTATTTTTACAAAGGATAATTCAATCCTGTCCCCTTGATACTATCTTTACACTCCATAAATAGTTCCAAATTCCCCTTGCTCCAATTTGGCTTTCTGTATCATTTTCTACTTTGTAAAAATTACACTATATAATTTTGGGGGGTTTTGTTTTTTTAAAGCGTATTTACTTTGAGAGAGAGAGAGAGATAGCACAAGCAAGGGGGGAGGGGCAGAGAGAGGGAGAAGGAGAGAGAGAATCCCAGGCAGGCTCCTCACTGACAGTGTGGGATGCAGGGCTTGAACTCACAAACCACGAGGTCGGATGCTTAATCAACTGAGCCACCCAAAGGCCCTTCACACTATGTAACCTTGATTGAACCAGAGCACAAGAGAAATGTTTTCACAACAGGATTTGTGAAAAACAGAAGTGTGATGGAAAAGGGGAATTCTGTCCACATTTCTTTATCGAGGCTATTCATACATAGATTAGATACCAGAAATAACTGCCAGTGGTTCAGGGGATGGGGCATGTTCATTTAAAAAGTGAGATTATTTTCAATTGGTGGCCTAAAGTGAAATAGAAATGTTCTGGCCTAAAAGTTCTGTTTAATTTTTATCTATAGAAAATTTCACTCAATAATAACTTGGTAAAGTTTTTCATATAAAATGCTATTTTTTCTCATCAAACCCAGTAAGACTATAATCTGAGAAATTTTACGTTAAGTGTTATAGTAAGGGAACAATGGAAAATGTATTTCTTCAACAAGGTAAAAAAATTTTCAAAGACAAAGAGAAGTAAGGATAGGTAAGGAAATGAAACTTTACTTCACCCACTAAATGCTGAGATTTATCAATTCAACTGTGTTTATATGTTGGACATTTTAGTCACAGTATCCAATGACATTAATGCTATAAGCTAATTCCATGCTAAGGTAGCTCACAGGATTAAAACAACAGGTCAACTACTACTAATGGAAGTTCTGTGATTTATTCTATATCTAGATAATTTCTGATATAAACAAGGGTAATCTAAAAGTCCAAAAGAAGATAGAAACACACAGCCAGAATTTGCATTTAGAGTCTTTAATCCTTGCAAAGATTTGGGAACAAGGAAGGAAGAGGCAAAGGGAAAAGATTCATTATGAAGGCAACATTGTTAGTGAAACCAAAAGATAAGAACTACTATGGTTGGGAGTATAAGGCACAAGGAGCTAAGGTCAAAAACTCTATTCTAGAAAGAAAAATGTAAGGTCAAAATGTTGACTTAATAATGATGACCAAGTTAGTTTATCTCTGTGCCCCAAGCACAGGCAGGAATAATAAAGTCAGTGGGAGAGCCTGAGGAAACAGGTTGGAGTAAGGTGGCCATAGGTCTAAATTCAGGGAGCCAATAAGTTATTGGCCAACTAAACCAATAAAGGAGTGTCAAAACTACCACAGCTCTGTAGTTTCAATCATAGTAATGGGGAAAAAATGGACAAAAGATACTTGTAGTAACTAAATGGGACAAATTGAGGCTAGTAACAAATACATTAACCTGAAGATAATATGTCTCCTATATTAATATACAATTCTCCCTTCCCAAATATGTTTTTTTCTTACTTGGGCAGTAATTCAATTTAGAAGTACTTTATCTCAAAACAATCAATATAAAAGCAACATCAATTAAGAACTTAAAGAAAAACAGTACTAAAAATGACTTTAAAAAGCCAGTAATTCATATTCCATGATACTCTGTATATGCTAATATATATGCATAGGTATAGCCAAAGCTATAGATGAGACCCAAATATAGTATAAAGAGTAAACAAATTTGCTAACTTCTCGTAAGTATTAAAAATTTGTATTAATCAGAATTATTTTGCAAATGATGCGCTGGAATTAAGCACCGAAGCTGTCCAAATGAAGTATTTCTTACTTTATTCCTATGTCCCAATGTCCAAGAAAATTCATATAATCTATAGATTAAGATGCTAAATTTACCCAAAATCTAGTTGGGTAACTGTTATTTAACCTGATCTTTCCTTATTTTTTTTTTAGGGTAAAATTATATTCTACACTGGGAAATATACATTCATTCATTTTTGGATTTGCCCTTTAAGATATTTGCAATAGAAATTAAATTTCTAAATCTTATTATAAGGAGTATACCATTAATTTGATGTAACAGACATTTGAGATGGTTAACAATTTACACAAAATAATTTAACAAACTAATAAAATATTAGCATTAGGATCATATTTGAACATTTGAGTTTATTAGATTACAGAATTCAAGACCCTAGGGGAGCCTGGGTGGTGCAGTCAGTTAAGCGTCCAACTCCTGATTTCAGCTCAGGTCACAACCTCACGGTTTTTGAGTTCAAGCCCCGCATTGGGTCCCACACTGACCATGCAGAGCCTTCTTGGGATTCTCTCTCTCTGCCCCACCCATGCACATACATGCACTTCTCTTTCTCTCAAAATAAATAAACTTAAAAAAAAAAAAGAAAGAATCTAAGACTCTATTAAACCATTATATATTCTTATAAGCATATTTATAAAAATCTAATCATTAAAGAGAGATGAGAGAAAATGTGATTCTAGTTCCTAATCACAAAAATTATATCTGAAAATGAACATTATTCTAAGCAAGTATTTCCTTTCTAAAATTCCCATATTAACTCCTGGCTAAGGGTGTTCTGAATGCGAAGAAAAGTCCTAAAAGAGTCTATGAAACCATAAATATTTTGCAATGCTCTGAGATGACTTACAATTTCAAATGGCTTTTGGTTAATTAGCTAAAAACCAAATTACCAAACGACAAATCAACCAAAATTGAATCCAGTGAAAATCAATGTGCCAATATGATAGGTGAGCTAAATATATCGTCACTTAACACCAATCACAGACAGACTGACACATTATATTAGTCAAGTGCTTACACAAATAGTTGGGGGAGGGTCTGAGTCTGAGAGGGTGTATGAATTCACATGTGCACAAATAAGTACATATCACATACTACACATTCCCAGGTATAATTTCTTATGTATCAGCTCTGAAATCATCTTTCTCATCCACCTGAGAAAGCAAATCTGTGAACTAAGACATACTTGAAAGAGAGAAGCCAGTCATTATTAGAAAATCTTTAGCATTTCTGATATTTGACATCTGAAACTCAGAAAATACAAGAAAACATAAGCCCACAAAGGAGAAAGCCTTACATAAATCAATCCAGCATCAGAGCCCAACTTCAGGTGTGCCATCGTGGTTCTATCTTTAAGGGAATGCCATTTACTTAAAAGAAAATGTGAATGATGCCACTTGGAGTCAGTGCAACGGTATCACATTGAGCTTGGCCAGTGGCCCCTCCAAAAGAAGTTGATACACACACACGCACACACACACACTTTAAAAAATAAATAATACAAATGTTTTTGGTTTTCTGGTCACTTGGCCAAATGATCGTCAATAATTGGTTACTGACCAACAACAAAAGCCAAGAATCAGAAAAAGACTAAGCTCTTATATTAAAGTTAAATAATCTGTATAACTCTGAACACCTTATATAACTTTTCTGAAATTAAGAGTTCTCTCATTTTTCCAACTAGAGGAAACAGATTTAGTATGCATGCTACCTTCAAAAGATTTAATGGATCCTATAACTTCTCATAACATATTTTGTATAAAACACAAAGCACAACTGGGACTATTATAATTATTCTTCCATATATACATTGCCTGTATTGACAGAGTTGGAAATTATTGAAACCATTTTCAAAGATGTCTATCATTCTGCCACTTTAAAAGGAGAATTATCTTTCCAATTCCTTGATTACCAGTAAGCTACTTTAACTGGCACTGTAATTGCTATCTTCATACTATATAGCTAGAAAGGACTTTAATAATCTATACTAGCATTACTCAAACTGTGTTCATCTAATTCTCAGAGGTATTCCAAGGGGAAGGAGAGGAGAATTTAATAATCAAAAAGATTTGGTAATACTTGGTTAAACAAGTTCCCTCAAAGCCTCCACCAGTTTAATAAGCAATATGAATCTCCGCAAGGGCAATACAATGTGCGGCATTTTTCTAACTCACTTGACCATGGAACCTATTAGTATATCTCAATGAACCAGGATCCTACAAAACAGGATTTGGAAAATGCTAATGTAGACCAGTGTCATTCTACTTTACAGATTTACATACTGAGGCAGAGAGATGTTAAATGTTAAATAATGTGAATTCACACCTACTAGAATGGCTGTTAAAAAAAAAGAAAGAAAATCACATGTTGGCAAAGATGTGGAGAAACCGGAACCCTGGTACACTGCTGGTGGGAACGTAAAATGGCACAGTCACTGTAGAAAAGGTTTGGTAATTCCTCAAAAAACTAAATGGAATCACCTTATGACCCAGGAATCCCACTCCTACATATATACCCCCAAACAACTGAAAGTGG